GATGTGTACTCATTGTACATGCGCACTGCTTCTTTTCATGCATAAGACACATTGTGCAAGCATAACGGTAGGAAGTTGGTATTTCTATTAGTGTAAACAGAAGCACATGAGTGTTTGTGTGGACTCTGCTCATATAAGTATGTTTGTAGTAATGAGTATATAGCAGCTACGTACGTTTAGTGGGCGCTGTATTTCGCAGGGCCCCTACACGAATGTTTTTATAGTCATCCAAAAGCTTTAAAGAGGGCTTGTACACACTTTTGTTTAGAAACTCTTTTTAGGTTTCATTGTAAGAGAAGGTGAGGGAACATACAGTAGGTGTCATTAAAAAGTACGCGTTTCTGTTCCGTGGAATGGGCGTTCTACAGAACAACCCGTTTCGTTCCCGTTTCCCTCCCGTTTAGTTTGTGGTCCGTTCCGTACCATTTTTGTCTGTGTCGCTCCATACTGTTGTGCCATGCCCGAGGGGTCCAACACAGGCCGTTATGACGTGTATACGATTTGTAATAGCCCGTGATTTCTAACTGATTTCTTGATTTCAACTGATTTCAGATTTCCGTGATTTCAAGAGATTTCCATATTTACGCGTGATTTCTACTGATTTCCAGTGATTTCTAGATTTCTATGGATTTATAAATTGATTTTCTCGGTCTGTCGTATAACTGTGCACTCCCTCAGGAGTTCTCTTACTGGCATGAACAGTAGTCATGCGCCACAGAACACAGACCTTTAGCTATACTGTCGCCGGTGCACATGAGAAATCTAGGTTATAGCCGGCTACAGAAACAGCCAGCAAGAAACAATTTTACTTCTGTGTCTTTAACATTGGTGTGGCCATTCTTGTTCTCAGATATATACTCTTCTCAAGCATATAGGTTCAAGTCCAGGTCGGTAGGAGTCCCAAGGGAATTTCTACACAGTTTCTTATTTCTCATTCCTCTCTGGCTGCTATCCTGGCATTTCCACTGAACAAACCTATGCCAAGGCCAAGGCCCTACCCTGATGGACTTACACGTTCCTTCGTTTTGTGCAAAACCCAGAGCGTTCAATTATAGTGTGCGCATCACCTTCTCGATCGAACGGTACCCATGGTAGTCTTGTCCCCAGACCCTCACGTGCTCCCGCGCGAAAGAGGGTCTGGTACATAAGGTCGAATTTCTTGGTTGTGCTGATTCAGCATGTGTACAGAAATTACATATCACTGCACGATTGTCACGTGTTCGCTTCTCAATCGCTGCATAGATCATCCGCACGTGCGCTCGGATCGAACGCTATATGGTCACATTATATTTTTAAACCTAGTAGCAATCTGATTGAGTTACTCAATTTTTCGAACATGCTGACTCAGCACAACCAAGAAATTCGACCGTTTTTTACCAGTAGTCTCGTACCCAGCCGCTCCACCCACAGGGGAAAGGAGCATCTAGTCTGGGAACTATCGATCCAAAACCTGGTCCGTTGTATCCGAACCGCTCGTGTAGTATGTTATGCATACGGGGCCCCACCTACCAAAGTTTACGGACTACGGATGCATGTGACGTTAATTGGCAGTTCTGCAATCTCATTTGAGATCTCGTTTTCAAGAACTAGGACCAAGAAATGTGTCAATAGATACCAGACCCCTTTCTCACATGATGAGTGGGTGGGGTCTGGGTTCGAGACTAAACGGTGGTGACGTGCTGGATATCGCGGCAGTTTTCTGTAGTGAACGAAGCGATACGGAGCAGAACAGCAGCGCGTGGACGGCAATTTGCATTCTGATTTCCACTTTTTCGCTGATTTCCAACTGATTTCTACTGATTTCTACGGATTTCTGACCATAGCTAAGCGTACGAGATTTCCACTTGTGTCGGACCCTCGGCCACGCCCGGTTTTTCTTTGAGTCGTTTTTGCTGACTTCGCGTGCTGCATGCCTGCTAGGTATAAACGTATGTGTAGACTAGAAGGCATTTTCCAAGAAAAGGACACCGTCAGTACAGGCGCTGTCGGATGACGCAGGAGCGGCCATAATGGCTCAACTAAGATATACGGACCCTGCCGCATACCTACGCATTCTACGTGCATGCGCATGTAATGCGCGCTTGCGCAATGGCAATTGATATGAATTTTTGGCGGAAAAACCGCGGGAACCATGTCTCTCTTGGAACTCGCCTTCTGAGGCACTCCAGTCATCATTGTCTTCTTGCAAAGGAAAATGTTCTTGCCAGTCAGCTGCAATGTGGATGCGGCACTATGACGAGGCTGCAAGGGAGACAGACATCGTCACGCTTCATAAACCGTGGAGGCCCGAGAGCGGCGAATATGGAGGGATCGTGCTCGCCGGAGACAGCGTCTTGCTTCTGAGACTGCCGAGGAGAGAGAGAGGTAGCACGATCATCCAAGGAGAGGGACACTAGCTTCCAGCAGATGAGAACCGCTGACCGGAGGAGAAGTAACCACTATTTGCGCACACACACAACCGTTAAAAAAACATTACTCCAACTCGCCAAAAATGCTGTGCATTCACCTAGTATAGCTATCAACTTACTGGCTATCTTGCTAACTGTATCACGCATGGAGGTGAAACTTGGTGTGCATGTGTATTACATTGTTTCCATGACGACCACAACAACAAATATGTAGCCTCAGGCACTTTTCTTTACAATAACTTCTTCACTCCGATTGCACTTCGGTTTTGTATCGCTTTTCCCCTTCTAATACGCCTCTCCAGTCCCTCATAGTCTGACGACGATTTTACTTATCCTGACAGTTTGACTTATACATACATGTGTTAGCGTGTACTATGCGTAATACATGTGCTTAGCGCGTTTCATGCGTTAATACGTACGCACGGGTTCGTATATTTTAGTTGATTCGCCATAGCTAGCAGGGTCGCGAGAAGCGATGCGAACAAACTCCTGTGAAGGCTTGCAAAGGTATGAAAGTATCTGGCTCGGAGATCCCATGGCCCTCCGCCATGGCGTCTCCAATCCCCAAGCTTGGACGGTATAGCCAACACGCTGTGGGTAGCCTCGTTCCCAGGCTCCCCCTCTCTGCACGCACAATTTATGCGTATGACCTTTGACCTAGAGAAAAGCGGAGTGGGAGCCAGAGAAGGTCAAACATGCGCAGGGATTGCATCATTGTCAATGAATTTTATGCTGACACAGCAATTTCCTTTTTACAACTCTCTGTGTGTGGTTTCAAGCGAATTCTCCATCTGTGTTGTAAACATAGGTCGAGTATGTCGTTGCAGGTCGTACATTCCTCAACGCGCTATTTGGAATTCTGGTACGATCCCGTGACCGTGTCCGATCTCCTCTGAGTGGGAGCCCAGAGGAGGAGGTCCGACACGGTGACGTGAATCATACAAGAATTCCAAGTAACACGCAAGAGTGTTTGTAAACATCTACTTAAGTGTAATGAACACCCTGAGGTGCTCTGCCTGCCAGTTTTGGTACAGAAATAGGGTGTTAGATAACACCAAGTTTTTAACAGTGTAGCCTGTGTTACAACAAGAAACTGACTCCGTACACGACGCATGGTCCAGCCCGTCTAGCATACATCAACGCTACAACGCGTGCGTTTTGCGCTGAGGGTTTGCACTTTTGTGCTTTTCATTCGGTGTTATTCAGTACGAGAAGGTAATCTGCATTGTATTGTTAAACCTCCTAGCCATGAAAATTATCAAACTTCTCATGTACCTTTACTCCTAGAAGAAAAGGAACAGATTGGCTAATAATGTTGCCCAATCAGTGCCCATAGGGAAGCCCACACACTGTCAATTCAGTTTGTTACCTACTGTATATTCTTTAACCCTCGGCGCGCATGCACAGCAAGGGTTACAGTAGTTGGTCTGTGTGTGTGTGAGTCCACGACTATTCTCGCACTACAGGCTAGAGGCAGCCTAAGAGCGATACCAAACGCAGTGCTACAAGTGCATGAAAAGTAAAATGGCGTTTTTCCTGAAATGACTGCGTTCAAGAGATATGCCGTGAAAAGAAGCGAAAAAGCCAAGATGCAAAATCACACTGGGCTTACCGCGACCCACGGCTGTTTCACGTAGGACATTTAGCGCTAATTTAGAACATTACGGTATTACCGTTACCTTAGTTACGGGGCTCGCGCAAGATGCGGAAGTTAGTCCGCGGTTTCGGGAGGAAGGAAGCTTGGGGCCTTGTTGGGCCGCAAAGCTTCCTTTGTTACATCCACACATTCTCAGATAGCCAGAGTGGTCTCTCTAGAAACCATAACACAGAACGGCGCAGCGCCCCAACGCCGTTACCGCATGTGCGCACGCACAAACCTGGCGGTGCTGCAGAACAGCTGAAGGGAAGGTCCTTTGTTTTTACTCACTCTGCCCGTGATAGGGGATTTTCCCTAGGAAGCCCAGTGTAGTAAACCACAGCTGAGGAATCCACACGTAAATTAGTGCGGACTAGAACCAGCTTTGCATTTTTTGGAGAAAGAAACATCAATCCAAAAAATATACATAAAAAAAAAGCACTAAAGTGCAAACCTTCGGCGAACTGCGCATGTGCGGTACCCCTAAAATTGATGGGCTGGGCTGTATGCGTTTACTCGTGGTCTCCCGTGAGTAGCTCGCAGAGAGTCTGACACGGGCTAGCTACAGTAGTAGATAGCACGCGAGAGTGGATACACGCCATTCGTTTTGACTTCTTGTGCCTTCAAGATAGACAGAGCAAGCGGAGGTAAGCCTGTGTAAGATAAGCGCATGCGCATTATCCGCCAGCGATAAAATGGCGACTACCAGCATTAGCCATACAATGCTGGAAGTGCTCTAGCTTTGCAACGGAGAATTTTCAGAGAAAACCCCACAAATTTTCTGGCCTTCATCGCCCGTTGGGTAGATGGTATCCTTTGTGAGACGAAAGAGCACTCGAGAAGTGAGATGAAGAGTAACGGACACACAGACAGACACACAGACAGACAGACCCAACTACTGTAACCCTCGCTGCGCATGCGCGCCGAGGGTTAATTACAGGAACATGACGGATTCTGAAGGGCGTGAGTTCCATTACACTCAACTTCCCAAACACTGTCGTGTGTGTGGGAAGCACTGCAGTAGTGGGGAGAGCAAGTACAGTGTTAGAGCACACACATCAGATCTTCTGGCTGTCTATGGTGTCTTGGCTGAGAGAGATGATCCTGCGATTCACCCGCCAGAATTCTGCCATGCTTGCTACTGCAAAATGAAGTGAGAGACGCCAATGGGGACCCCAACAATGTCCAGAGCACATATTTGGAACAAACACACTCCAGAAAACTGTGCAGTAAGGAAATAAAACCAAGCCTATACACAGTATGTATGTACACAAAAAAACTGTTCTAAAATAGACTTGCGGCCACTTCCGTGGGTCACGACAGGTCGGCAGACCGAGAAAGAGGAGCAGTGAGGGTTGCCCGGGGCCACAGCAAAGATTGGTGAAGACCATTTCCCAACTTGGTCAACCGCCAACTCACATCACCCAGGAAGCTCTGGAGTACATCCTCCCACCTCACACTCCTTTCACACTCGGTGACGTTGAGTGTCCACTGTGTCTGGAGGTATTAGTCAGACCTCTGCAACTCCCATGTGGAGCACACTGCTGCACATCGTGTGTGTCTGTGCATGGGTGCAACATACATGCAACATCACACTGGATCCTCTACCATGTCCTTGCTGCATCCAGTCACATGCCTTGAACAGAGAGATTGATAAGGTCAAGAGTGACATAGAGAAAGGCATCAGGATGGAGGAAGGTCCTTTCATCATAGGCCTCGACAGAGTTCTCAAAGGCTTCAATGTCCAACGACTTGCTTCTTATTCGAGCAAAGGCACCGAAACCAGCGCCACGACCGCGTGGAGAGGCTACGACGGGTAGTTACAGAGCACCTTCTGAAAAGCTTACCCAGTCATGTCGCTGCACACCCCCCTACAAAGCGCAGGAAGATCGCCGAAGAGTGACAGCTACACATACACATTAGCTACGTTATCAAACTAACTTACATGAAAAATTGCGTATCATAAAAACCAAGATCTTTTTTGCTCTGCCACACATAAGAAAAAATACGAATTAGAATAAATTCAGGTCCCTGGGTATGGTACGTCCTTTGGCCTTGTTTCTGGCGCAAATCCGTTTCAGAGAAAATTCGCAAGTGAACAGTAAGACCGCTTGAGTCGACCATACTACTTGGGAACGTAAGGCCGTCCACGTTTGGCGGATTTTGAAACGGCTTGGACAAAAAACGCTCAGGCGAGTCAAGTAACTCTGAAAGTCTCGTCCACAAAGCCAGAGTCTGCCCAACTCAGCAGGAACCGACACGTGTGCGCCGAAAGAGCTGCCTAGAAAACGGAGGAACAAGCAGTCGGCGACATTTCAAATTCAGATGTACGTCATCGTACAACGTATGCCTGAAACGCGCAATCGAACAGCGTGGACCTCCTGATCCGCTACACTCTGTGGACCTTGGGGGCTCAGGAAGTCACGCATCGAATGGCGGTGGATCGACGCCCGCATGCTAACGGTTTGTAGCGGGCAGTGTCAGACTTTCTCCGGGATTGTTTACTAGTGGGAGAGACCACCAGTACAAATAGCCCACGCCATCAATTTAGCAGTAGCACACAGCGCAGTCGACGGATGGGGGAAAGGGAGGGAGGGGAGGGTAGAAAAGAACAAAAACAGACAGAAAGGTAGAGGAAGCAAAAAATTATAAAAAAAAAAAAAAAAAATAAAAAGGGGAAAAGATAAAAAAGAAAAGAAAAAAAAACAGAAAGAAGACGAATCAAAGAAGGAAAAAACAAGAAAAAAAAAAAAATAAGAAAATGAAAGGGACAGGAGAGAAAGAAGGAAAAAAGAGGAGGGGAGAAAAAAAAAGAAAAAAGAAGGAATTAAAATAAAAAAAATAAAAATAAAAAAAAAACAACAAAAAAAAAAAAACAAAAAAATAAAATAAAAAAAAACATAATAAAACAAAAAAAAAGAAAAAAAAATTCATTAATAAATGTGGGCACTAGAGAGAATTGGAAACCTTAGTTAATATAGCTAAATCCACATTGGCATGTTTATTGAAAATTTGACGGGGATATGTCAGATCAATATGACACATTTTGGCAGGAGATCTACACATAAATAAGGAGTCTACTATAAAAGAAACGTTTTTAACCCTCGCGCGCCTGGTCATGCGCCAGCGAGGGTTACCGTAGTTGGGTTTTGTCTGTCTGTTGTCTGTGTGTACTGTTACTCTCAATCTCACTCTCGTTGTCTGTTCGTCCCAGAAACGATACCATCTACCACGGCGACGAAGGTCCGAAAGTATGTGGGTTTCTCTGAAAGAAATGCTCCTTACAAACAGTAGCTAGAGCGCTTCCACCATGTACGGCTAATGCGTAGTCGCATTTGTATCGCTACGGAAAATGCGCATGCGCGTATATATCCTCGACCGCGTCCGCTGCTCTGTGTATCTTGAGAGGCACCAGACGTCAAAACGAAGGGCGTGTATTGACTCTCGCATACTATCTACTAGCTGGAGCTAGCCCGTGTCCAGACTCTCTGCGAGCTACTAGCGGGAGACCACGAGTAAATAACGCAGTACTAATACCAGCCTAGCCATCAATTAGCGGTACCCCACGCGCAGTCCCCAGTTCGCCGAGGGTTTGGACTTTAGTGCTTTTCATTACTCTTAAAGTGACTTAATGATGTCAGGCCATTTCTCCTCTGCAATGAAGTTAGCATACATTTGGTTAACCCTTAGCAAGCCACAGGCATATATATGGCATATGTATTATATACAAGTGGAAAAATCTTTTCTTCAAAATGAAAGAGGGATATAGGGATGGCTTGAAGCACCAAAAAGGAAGAAACAAAGGCGTCATTACACAGCAAAGCTACATTACACCATCCCTATATCTTTGTTCGATATTGCTTATAAACAATAAAAGATATGGGGATGGTGTCATGTAGCTTTGTGCAACTTTGCTGTGTAATGACCCCTTGTTAAACCTCGGCGCGCATGCGCAGCGAGGGTTACTGTAGTCGTTCTGTCTGTCTGTGTGTGTGTGTGTCGACGCTTATTCTGGCACTGCAGGCTATAAAGCGGCCCGTTAGTGATACCAGTGGCTTCAGAATTACACGAGCCTGAAAAATAAAAGGTTGATTTTCCTGAAACGACTGCGTTTGAGAGCGACAAACTGGCACGTTTGCGGACCGCGTTGCGTGGCCCAACCCATCAATAAGCGGTGTGCATGCGTCGCGATCAACGCAGTTTGCTGGCTAACCTCGACCTGATCCGCTTGCTCTGTGTACCTTGGAGGCACAAGAAGCCACAGCGAAGGGCGTGTATCGACTCCCGCATGCTATCTACTACCGTAGCTAGCCCGTGTCAGACTCTCCGCGAGTTACTAGCGGGAGACCGCGGGTAAACGCCAATAGCCCGGCCCATCTATTAGAAGTACCACGCATGCGCAGTTCGCCGAGGGTTTGCACTTTAGTGCTTTTCATTTCTTCCTTTTTGGTGCTTCAAGCCATCCCTATATCCCCCTTTCATTTTGAAGAAATGATTTTTCCACTTGTTTCCACTGTTTTTTAACAGCTTATGACAACACTGCATTTTATTGTTACAGCCACTCTGATGTTCATGGGCATGTTGTAGATAGGTTACCATGCAAGGACAAACTCTAATTGTTAACCCTCGGCGCGCATGTGCAGCGAGGGTTATAGTACTTGGTTTGTCATTCTGTCCGTCTGTTGTCTGTCCGTCTGTCTGTTACCACGTTTTCTCCCGCTACGTGCAACAAGACGGCCAAAAAGCGATACCAACGGGTTCAGTGCCACACTGGCTTTATTTTAAAATAGCAATTTTGGTAAAAATGCTGCGTTCGGAAGTTATGGCGTGAAACAAAGAGAAGGAGCTAATATGCAAATTAGCACTGGCTTACCTCGGCCAGCTCTTCGTACCTTGGAGGCACCAGAAGTTGCAACGCAGGACGGGTATCGACTCCCGCGTGCTACAGTATAGCAAGCCTGTGACCGACTCTCAGCCAGCGAGCTGGTAAGCGACCACGAGTCAGTAAAACGGTAATTGGACCAGCCCACCAATTAGCAGTGCCGCGCATGCGTACGGTATAGCGTGAACGTCATCTGCATCTACGCCTTGCATGGAACAAGGCTGCATAGAAAAGCATTGCAGGTGAGCTGCTGAGGCACAGCCTGCCTAGTAATGGAATGTTATTATCCTGCTCCTTCCCTACACCATTCAGACATCAGAATGTGCACAGGGTGAGCAAGGAGCTGCTCCTTCCCTACACCATTCATACATCAGAATGTGCACAGGGTGAGCAAGGAGCTGCAATCGCTAACCTACTGATGTAGCCAGCCCATGATAACATGTAGCAGCTTAATAGTAGTATGTGCACGTACTTTAGCACGTGCATACAAATTAATCACGCCCACGCCGAGGGTTAGCACTTCAGTGCCTTTCATTGAAAGTAGTAGCTAATGGGGCTGCTGTACCTGAAGCAGGGGCTAGATACCGCATTCACCTCATGTATTGTCTTCAACAAGGATGTAATTAGATTATTGCACACGGTTGTGGTTTCATGGGCAGGCTTTGGTAATCAGGTAACAACCTGGGGGGGACAAACAATGAAGGCCCATTTGGCGCCCGGCAAGGCTCGCATAGCTAACACTGCGCAGACTCTGGCAAGTTGCTTTTTGTGCAAATCAACAGCAAGCTAGCCAGTTGGAAATGTGCACACTTACTTACGGAAGGTAATGGAGGCTGAGAGTTCCTCTGCAGGTCTGCCAACTCCCCTGGTAATACGCTCGCAACGCCCCTGCCTTGCGCATGCGTGCGGCTCACTGATGCTGAGTTTGCAGCAAATGGCGTTGTTCGGTGTCGACTATGGAAGAGCTCCATGATCTACCGTAGTGACTAGCGGCAAGAAAGGAACGATCGCTTGATGTCCGTGCACACCTCCGGCGAAATTGGAGACCTTCAGTGAAAAAAATCAGTGCTCGAACTGGTACTGTCACGAAAATCGTGAAATCGCGTATGAGCGAATTCTCCCGTGGACGACTGAAGGTGCGTATGAGGTCTTGGGGGACATGTATAGGTAGATATGGGTCTGTAGACTATTGCTAGTATGTTTTGAAGGCCTAGGGAGTGATTGTCACCAATTTTTTTGTCGTTTTGTACGCGGATCACGTGAGATTCAACCGTGTCATCCCTATGTAGAGAGTCTACCGACTCTCTAATATATATATATATATATATATATATATATGCCCAGAGCCTGCATAAGTCCATGCTTTTTTAAAGAAATATCCATGGCGTCCAGAGGGTTAAGATGTCCAAGCTTGCTGTCTGTTAGAGATCTGAGATTCCCCCTTGCATCTTTCACTTTAGGAATGCAAGAGTCTGTACTGATGAAGCCCTTCTTAACCTTTGTAGGAGAATCACGCAAAGTTCCAGAGTAGCATTTTTTGCGTACCTTCATTAGAATTTTGTTAGGTGGCACTGCAACTGTTACAAAATCATGTAGATCCTTCCTGGTAAGTTTTAATTTTTTTTCACCCACTTTCTCTCTCCACATGCGTGCTATTCCTCCGTTGTCCGTTATTACAAGACAGATTAAGAGCTGTAGATCTGTTTCATTGAATTCATCACTTTTGTAATACGACTTGGCTATCTGAGAGAAAAGTTGGTCTGGTGCAAACTTGGTATGTCCGGGAACTATGAATGAGATTCGTAATGTAACACACAGTGTTGTACTAGTTCCATGCATGATGCGATTTAATACTGATTCTTATTAGTGGAACCTGCATTATCGAGGAACACATGAAGTCGAGCAACCCATGAAGGTACGGTACCAACCGATTTGAAATAATGGAGGATATAGGGAGATAGTGTGGTCCGCTGTTGTTTTGCTTTCATCTAAGATGTACACAGCTGATATTCATCCCTGTGGTCAACAATTCCGAAGAGATTGTACGAGAGTTTTTGAAGGTAGTATGTTGACCCTGGTTGTGGGCTAGACCCCCAATAAGGAGCAGTTTTTGCATCTGGTAGTCTGCACTGATAACTAGGGTGAAGCAATGCTTTAATTGTTCGAGCCGTTTGTCTTCAGCAGAACTTCTGTCACGCTTGCTTTCTAATCTCTTTCCCACTGCTCACAGCACTTTGTCTTCATCTTCTTGTAGTACTGTAGTCACTCGCGAGCAACATCTTCGTGTTCTTGTAGTTTATCCTCCAAGGCCTCTTTTTCTTTCTCTAACTGGGCTATTTCAGTCGCATCTGCACTTCCACTTTGAAGCTTTCTGTTCATCGAAGTTTGCTTCTCCTGAAATTTACTTTTACCTTAGCACAGTAATCACAGTAATCTGCTTTATAAGGGTATGTGGCATGTTTCGGATGTTCTTTCTTGAGCCATGTAAGGGCTGAAAAATCAGAAATAGTGGGACTTCCATCCTCAACTTGAATTCGACTGAACTCTCCAACAAGTGATGTAGCTAATCAGCTGTCATAATTGTGGACATTTTTTTTGGTGCAGATATTATACATTTTGGTAAAAAGTAATGAGTGGGGTTACGAGAATCTAACCTCCGACCATTCGACTGGGAGTTAGTGTCAAAAACATCTCTTTTGTGTCGGTTTTAGCACTATTCCCTTGCCTTTGAAAGGGATAGCCAACAACCACTTCATGATCATCATGCAGATCTTTCCACCATAAGTTGAAACAAACATGAATTTATAATAGTATAACAATGAATGAAGTATGCTGTTGCTGGTCTACATCTTTCTTTGACATATTTACTTCTTGCTGCTGAAAAAGCTTACGCTTGACTTGACACTGTCTAGAGAGACGTTGCTTACTAACCCCAAGAGCTTTACGGACACGGGCATGACAGGCTTTACTAACTGACACACTGACTGCACACACCGTCGATACCAGTGTTGCTCTCCTCTAGAGAACGGCGTAGATGCTCTACGGCTTTCGAACTTTTCCTTAAAAAAATGTTTTCCTGCTGTTGTCATCAGCGCTTGATCCCAACACCATACAGTTCCTCAGAGGAGCTAGAAGAGTGAGGACTGACTGTTAGTCTGCTCGTTGGTCCATTCCTCGCTTGCTGTCACCTCGATAATAGACTCCTCTATAGCTGACTCTTCAAGAGCCGATACGGACTCTGTGATAACTGACTCATCTTCCATGGTCAGTACTCATTCAACTCAGGCCCCAAGGAAGATACAAGATCAGCAGTAGACTAGAACCACAATTGCTGACCTGCAAATACCAGATTGCGAGTTCAGGTTTTGGCTCGGTGCTGGCCTTGACCAGCAGGAGTTGGGAGGGGCCTAGGCTACAAACCACGAATTTCTGGGCATGGTCAGCAGCACATACCAGTGACAAAGCCTTGTGGGGATGAATATCATTAGTTCATAACCACAAGTGCTGCGCTCCTGGTAGCCTTTATAAACTCATGTTGCCAGAAGTTACAGTATGCTCTGCTGATGAGGGCCAACAAGCCCGAAACAGCTCTCCAGAGTTCCGCATCTTTTTTCTTTTGGCATCACATGGTCTAATAACCATGGTGACTAATTAGATATTAGTAATTTGGCATCATCTGACAACTCATGTACAAAGTTTGGGGTGTTAACTAGTAACCCATTCCTCTCTACATATGCATAAACTTTGGAGGCTCTTATGAATTCCACCCTAGGTTCCATTTCTACCCTAGGCGCCCACTTATATGCATATATACATATATATATATATATAATATATATATATATATATATATATATATAAATTATAGGTATTCCACAGATTATGGAATTAGCTTCAGGCTATGTCTGGTAGATAGCGCATCTGACCAGACCCCCTTTGCCATTGGTACGTACTACAAGGAAGGTGTTATAATATATCTCTTGCTTTATAAGCTTCCTACTTCAAAGCCTGTTTCAGTGAGTCATGTGGAATGTAGAAAAATCATAAGTATCACCATGCTTAGCTGAAGAACAATAATTTAATGCACCAAGCACCTGTCATGGGTTTTCTACAACCCAGAAGCAATTCACACCTGTTCTGAAGTAAATTCCATTGCAATTCTGCCTGAAGTGATTAATGATTGTATGTGTGCAACTAGTAAGCAGTTTTGAAACAGGCCACCTATAAGATGCATGCGCGGTACCGCTAATTGATGGGCTGGGCTACTCGTGGTCTCTTCAGCTCGCTTAGAGTCTATAACAGGCTTGCTAGATCGATACACAGCATGCGGGAGTCAATACTTGCTTTGGGTTGCAACTGCTGGTGGCTCACGCCCTAACTCTCGAACACAGTACGTATGAAATTTGCCTAATTTCAAATCAAACCAGTGTAGCGCTGAACCTTTGTAGCACTTTTGTTGTCTAGTTGCATGTGGGGCAGAAAATATTGTTAACAGACAGCGAGACAGACACACACACTATTATTATATGGCTACGAACCAAGTACCGTAAACCTCGCTGTGCATAGGTGAACGAGTTTTATCTGTCCTTTAACTGGCTTGTAACACGAATTGCAGTTAAACACTTGAGCTCTCATGTGTCTATTGAGCAGCAGACTCAACTGGTACCTGTGGAGTATATTTTGTAGCTTCTAGGATGGCCGGTTAGCTCGCATGAGACAGTTCAAAAGTTTCCTTCTTGTTTTCTATATTTCTCAAACGAGCAGAAATTGTATATATATGATATTTATTGTACTGTCTGGACGCTTACATATCGTGCTATATACAATAATTTGTGTTAAATCTTTATCTGGGGAAGGGGGATGAAGCTTCCTTATTAACCATTCTTTCTGTTTTTGACTGCAGCTATCAGCATATATGATTCTGGCAATATCTGGTAAGCCTTAAGTATCCCTCTGCATGTTTGCATAACTTGTGTGTCTTTGGGTTTATCCATATTATTTACAAATGTGCCAACATAAAACTTTGTGGCTACAAACTGTGATACTAATGACAGGTTTGGCCACGACATTATTCTTTGCTCACTACTACAAATACTTCATAAGAAAACAGCACACCGGCTTTGCGAGGCCAGGAGTCCTCTCTACAGTTAGCTATCAGCTATGGTGTGGCGAGTTGAGGATAACGCCCATAGTATGTAAGGTTTCCTCCAGGAGGGACTAAGTTTGTTGTAGCTCTACAAGCAGTGTTGCTGCATAACACTGTCATGCAAAATAGTTGAATCTCTGTTGTAGTATTACAGGTGGCTATGCTTGGGCCCAACAGTTACTAAGGTCAGAGTGGACTTCAACTGGTTAGATAGTGGGTTTGAAGTAAAAGGACAAAAAATAGTGAAATGGCGTACAAGTGGATTCTCGCGTGGAGAACTTAGGGTAGGAAAAACGTCTTTTTGCCCAGTTTTGAAGCTTTTTGTGTGCGGATCATGTGAGAATTGACCTATCCTATCCCTATATTACAGTGTCTTGGACTGCAGTCTGTGATCATAGTCCACATTATGCAAGTTGTCACTATAGGCAGGCACAAATGAGTCTAGTTAGTCACTTCAGTTGGTATTCACTGATAATAGTGGTGATTACCATATTTCCTCCGATATGTAAATGCTGCACCTCAAATTGAAGCCGCCCTCATGTAGAAGCTGCGTGTAGCTCTGGATTAACGTAACAGTAGCTGCCCTTGAATAGTAGTCACACTTTGTGCATGTGTATAGTGTGTAGCTTCGATCGAGCGAAGGCAGCGACAAAGGCAGCGGCAATCTGTGGTGCTGCACTCTGATAGAAGGCCCCTAATCGTTGATCTTTGAGGCCTCGTGACACTGCTTTCACACTGCTGCCTCTATGAGGTGCAAAAGCTGCCCTATAATAATATATGCCGCACTGAAATTATACTAGCTGTGGCGTCTGATCAAGGAAATATGAAAGTGTACTGCATTCACAATTACTGTAGTTTTTTTTTGTACAGGTGTTTCTGGTGCTGATGTAAAACTGCGAGTGTTTGGTCCTCACACTAATGAGTCATCTGTAACTATCTGTCCTAATGATGACTACCTGCTCACTTTGTGCATGTGTATAGTGTGTAGCTTCGATCGAGCGAAGGCAGCGACAAAGGCAGCGGCAATCTGTGGTGCTGCACTCTGATAGAAGGCCCCTAATCGTTGATCTTTGAGGCCTCGTGACACTGCTTTCACACTGCTGCCTCTATGAGGTGCAAAAGCTGCCCTATAATAATATATGCCGCACTGAAATTATACTAGCTGTGGCGTCTGATCAAGGAAATATGAAAGTGTACTGCATTCACAATTACTGTAGTTTTTTTTTGTACAGGTGTTTCTGGTGCTGATGTAAAACTGCGAGTGTTTGGTCCTCACACTAATGAGTCATCTGTAACTATCTGTCCTAATGATGACTACCTGCTTGTGGTGGAGTGTATCGTAAAGGAGAGTTCTTTAATCTCCTGGACTGTGACGCCATTAATACGTGATGCTGTCTTGTTTACCTCCTTGAACGTTGTTGGTAAAACAGTTAATAGAGGCGGAGTGAATTTCACTCTCACTAAAGAGAATACAGAGATGGAAAATGATGACCCTGTTACATACATTTCACAAGTGCAGTTGCATACTGATTTGATCAGACAAACTGTTGGTGATCATGGGGAAATTGAAGTAACCTGTGCAACTTCATCCAAGACTGCATCAGTATATTTGGATATGCAAGGTATGTAACTGCGTTAACGATGTTGTGTAAAACAAGTGAACCATGCGGCCAGTAACAATTGGCTAACGAAGCGAGTATACCTAGTCATATGTATCATTTTCCAGTGTAATGTATGACCTGACTGGCACTGCACCTACCACAATTTTTATACATGATTCTAAATACCCGTGAAACACATAATAAAGCATCGATTTGTATACCGTGTGTGCATTTGATGTCAATAATTAATGCCATCTTGAGAGGCAATGTACATGTTGTGCTACATGGGGTTTTCCAGCCACCAAGGGAGTGACTTAATATTCTGAATCGATGAACAAGGGCCTAGTGCGGTGAAAAGCATAGTGCGGTGAAACTTTGCCTTTCTCCTGGACAGTTCTTTACTAATCCTCGGTCACAGTGCCTTTGCTTCTGCAGCTTCGTCACATCTGAACCAGTTGTACACGATGTGATTGCTTTACTGATGGTCTACTGGTTATACAGTAGTGGCCAGTTTTGATAGGCGTATAGTCTATTCACGTTGAGGAGTCCGGTGGATTCACTTGAATAACTTCCGCATACTATGTGCTATGAATACGATTAAAGTACTGTTGCATTCATCTCGCGCTTCCGACCTCAGCAGTATGTAGCATTTGCGTGTAAGTACATAGATCGGCCAGAACGACTTTCCCATACATATCTATGACATAGCTTTGACCACGCGGATTCCGGAAGTTACGTATGTTGGCGGAGTTGGATGCGCAGCTTGCAATACGCAAGATAGCAGAGTCGAAAGATAGTATTATTAGAGTTAGTATAAGTGAGTGACTAACTGAATGACTGTGCGAAGTGTGTGCGGATCACTGCTTATATAGAGCCTAGGAATAGTTCTTGAATGTTCTACAGACAGAATGTTCTAGTGTGTCTGCCATGTGCTTCCATGTGCTCCCACGTGTTAGTCCATGTGCTTAGGTGTGATTTCAATGTTTACAAACAATGGAGAGTGCACTTCCTCAACACTCCTCACTCGACTCACATACCAAACGACATTCTGAGTCTTTCGAATTTCTCTGGTCCTATTCCTTTCGTAAGTAGATCTGCCAGCATATCTTCCGTTGGGCAGTATTTGAGGCAAGCAACCAGGGTTCGGAATGATTCGAATCGAATGACTGGACTGAAAGTTTCGTCATAGTCCAGACTTTGCTTCTGGTAAAAGCCTTCAGCGACTAAGCGGGCCTTGTATCGCTCAATCGATCCGTCTGATTTGGTCTTCTTCTTGAATACCCATTTGCATCCCACTGGCTTTCTATTTTTGGGTAGCTCCACAAGGTCCCATACATCGTTCGAGTGAGTGGAGTCCATCTCCTTCTGCATAGCGGTTTCCCATTTCTCCTTCTCGGAACCGCTTAGAGCTTCTTTTACTGACTGTGGCTCCTCCAACTCAGCAGCGGTGTAAACACGAACACCGTAGTAGTGTGGTTGTCTTGTTTCCCTTGTGGATCTTCGTGGGGCAGGATTATTGTTAGAGTGAACGCTCGAGTTGTCTTCTTGCACAGGTTCAGATTCTGATATGTCTCCTTCGGAATCTCCTTCTGTACCTGGTACTTCTGGTTCCTGGCCGGTGAGGTTTTCCACTTGAATCTGTCTGGTCTGTCCTTCTGACGCAGACTTGTACCCCCTGGACAACTCGTTGAATACGACATCACGACTGTGGACGATGCTCGATGTTGTCTGGTCATAGAGACGGTAGCCTTTCCTTGAGGTTGCGTAACCAAGTAACCAAGGAAAAAACACCCTTTTGCTTTTGAGTCCAGCTTCTTCCTCTCATCTTTCGGGACGTGAGTGTAGGCTGAACATCCGAAAACACGTAAGTGGCTGACGTTTGGTTTCTTCCCATACCAGGCCTCAAACGGTGTCTTGTCATCGAGGGCCTTTGTAGGGCTTCGGTTGATCAGGTATGCTGCAGTTGACAGCGCTTCAGCCCAAAATTTTTGCGGTAGCCTTGAGTCAGCAAGCATCGATCGAACTGTCTCGACTAATGTCTGATTCATTCTCTCCGATACTCCATTTTGCTCTGGTGTCTTTGGGATGGTGTATTGATGTTCAATGCCTTCGTCCTTGAGGTGGCTTTCAAACTCTGTAGATGTGTACTCCCCTCCATTGTCAGTTCGTAATTTCTTCACTTTGTGACCTGACAAATTCTCGACGAGGGATTTCCATTCCGTGAACTTCTGGAATACTTCATTCTTGTGCTTGATGACATACACCCACACATAGTGCGTCTTGTCGTCGATGAATACGACAAAGTACTCCGCAAGACTGAGTGATGATGAGCTAATCTTGCCACACACATCACTGTGAATGAGGCCTAGAGGCTCTTCGGCTCTTTCTCGTCCGTTTCTTGGAAATGAGCAACGATGAATCTTTCCGCTCACGCAAGATTTACAAAAGTCAATTTCCTTCGATATGTCGTAGTCGAAGCCATTGACTAACCCATCTTTTTTCAGCTTAGACAGGTTTCTGGCTCCTAAATGACCATATCTCCTGTGCCACAGGTTCTCACCAGCTTGATCAGTGGCTAAGTTGATCCGTTCGTTAATCATTAGCTCGCAACGAAGGTAGTACAGACTTCCGGTTTTCGATGCCATGGCTACTACCTCTCCTTCTTCATCGATAATTTCGCCGTTCGTCTCACCGAATTTGACCATCTTTCTAGCTTCGGTAGATTTTACAACACTGAGTAGATTGTAGGCCAGGGTAGGCACGTCGAGAACTTCACCTAACCGTCCAATCTTTGACTCTCCACCAGGCAATTTCAGTTTGACTTCTACGACACCAGTACCCATCGCTTCGACGGTACGGCCATCTCCGAGAGTAACCTTTTGTGGTTTCGACAGAGGATGCAGTTCTTCAAATAGCTCTTTGGAATTGCAAATGTGGCAGGTGGCTCCTGAGTCTACAATCCAGTCATGTGCAGGCTCTGTTACTCCGAGGTCATGGCTTGTCACCAGTCCTACCCCTTTTGGCTTGGGCCTTTTGCTGCCTTTTTCGGATCCTCCGTGCTTAGATTTCTCTTCTTCAGCCTTGGTGCGTTCGGTGCAATTTCTCTGGATGTGTCCGTACTGTTTGCAGTAGTAACACTGTGGGCCTCTGCCTTTGAACTGTCGCCTGGTCATCATTGCCTTGTCTCCGCTTGAGTCAGGTCTTGATTTTTCTGTCTGCTTCCTCTCAGCATGTAGCAGCTTTTCAGTGACGACTACCATCTTCGGGACGTCTTCGTTGGCTTTAAGAGCGGTAACGAGCGTGTTGAAACTGTCTGGCAAACTAGCTAGCAAATACACGACTCAATCTTCCTCCTCTATAGCATCTCCTACAATAGCTAGCTCATTGAACAACTCTGTCATGGTCTTGATATGCTCTCGAACTGACTCTCTGTCACTTAATTTCAGCGAATGTAGTCTCCGTCGAAGGGCTAATTTGTTCCCCCACGTTTTCTTCTGGAACCGGTCCTGGAGCTTCTGCCAAACAACGACGGGGTCTTCGGGGTCTCCTATCAAGTAGAGCAACGACGGTTCGACCGCCAGCACAATAGTAGCCAGTGTGCGATCTCGTCTTGCGAGGAATTTCGATCGTCGGTCTCCGGCGCCTTCCGTAGGTGCGGTCTCGGTACCCGCAACGATCCCCCATAATCCTTCACGTACCAGCTAGCTCATTGAACAACTCTGTCATGGTCTTGATATGCTCTCGAACTGACTCTTAATTTCAGCGAATGTAGTCTCCGTCGAAGGGCTAATTTGTTCGCCCACGTTTTCTTCTGGAACCGGTCCTGGAGCTTCTGCCAAACAACGACGGGGTCTTCGGGGTCTCCTATCAAGTAGAGCAACGACGGTCCGACCGCCAGCACAATGGTAGCCAGTGCGCGATCTCGTCTTGCGAGGAATTTCGATCGTCGGTCTCCGGCGCCTTCCGTAGGTGCGGTCTCGGTACCCGCAACGATCCCCCATAATCCTTCACGTACCAGTGCCATACGACACTGCACTTTCCATGTCGGGTAGTTACTCCCGTTTAGTGGAACAAGGCTGACAGTCGTCTTCGATTCTGCCATCGTCCTGGGCCCATAACCTGTTGGAGTTGGATGTGCAGCTTGCAATACGCAAGATAGCAGAGTCGAAAGATAGTATTATTAGAGTTAGTATAAGTCAGTGACTAACTGAATGACTGTGCGAAGTGTGTGCGGATCACTGCTTATATAGAGCCTAGGAATAGTTCTAGAATGTTCTACAGACATAATGTTCTAGTGCGTCTGCCATGTGCTTCCATGTGCTCCCATGTGTTAGTCCATGTGCTTAGTGTGATTTCAATGTTTACAAACAATGGAGAGTGCACTTCCTCAGCAACGTAAGACGTAAGTACGCGTAATACACATTACACGCGGACACACAAATGCATACAAAAACCAAGGTATATCTCAGGCAAATGCAAGGGTATTTTTAGCAGGTGGCAGCAAGCTTTAGTGAGTGTGTTTTGTGTGCAAAAGGTGATACAAAAGAAAGGGAATCCAAAATAAGGCAGTGGTAAATATATAACTGCCACTGGAAGATTCACTCTCATTCGCTGCATCGTCAGAGCCACCAACACGGATAACAAACTCATCCACGCTCTCTTCTTGCAGTCCACTTTCAGCCCAGTTCTATAGGATTGAGTTCGCAGTGATAGGGAGGTAGCCTTACAACTTCATGTCCTGAAGCCTTCGCCATCTCGTCAACAGCATACTTCAGCGTGGGACAGTTTGCAACAATCAACTGCAGCAATTCTCTCTTTAGAGCATAGTCTGGAAACTCAATTGCCTTTGATGTTAGCCAGTCCTTCATCTGCTGCTTTGTTGAGCTCATCGTAAGCACCAGTTCCACCTTACAACTATTGTAAGGTGCGTATCCATCACAATCAAAGAATTGCTTTGTGAATTAGGCAATAGACTGTCGTGAAACCATTCTTCGAAGTGTGCTGCAGTCATTTCATCGTGGTAATCACCGGTCGCTTTTTGCTCTGGAATACCAAATCTGCTCCAGTCACCCATCCGTTCTCCCCCCAGCATGCAAGATGATCGAACGGTTTCCCTTCCCAGATGGTTTACGAACCCCTCCAATAGTACCACCACTCACCACAGGATCATCTTCCATCTTCTCCACACTGTCTCTTGCATTGGCCCATGTTTAACCCAGGTACACGACTGGTCTTCCTTCTCTTCTGTTCCTCATCATTCTTCGTAGGTATTTATGTCGTTGTACAATAATACGGGGCTACTCCTACACCGTACACATATCTCTTATCATTGACTTGCTTTTATTAAAAACCGAGCTTCTTAAGGACTTTCCACAGCGTAACACGTTCAACATCAAACAGACCTCTTTCCTTAACTAGCGCAAGCAACGACTCCAACGTAGGAAACTTCTTATCGCGGTAGAACTCATGAACTGCACGTCGTATTCCTTCCATATCGAAGTCATCAACAATAATCTTCTTCCTCTCTTTCTTGTATTGCTTAGCAGGCGACATGAAAACAGCTCCATCCTTGGCTATCTTCTCACGTACTATTCGACTCACAGTTCACTCACAGTAGCCAGTAGCATCCGCTGTCTTGCCTATAGGCCTTGGCCGTCCAGAATACTTGCTCTTATGGCTCTATTTCTCAAAATAGCTATAAACATAAAAAATGATGGTCTTCGCTGTGCTATTAACACGCTTTCCTCGTCCAGGCATCGTAAAACTCGTCGATCTCATGGGGTAAACATCTCTCCCGATTTTCGCGCCAAACTCCGGTTCACGTGGCTACAGAACACGCAGATGACCTCTGCAACCACGCGGACCACAAAAATTTGAGTTCTTGCCCATTCCAACGCACGCGAACATCCGGTGGACTCCTCAACGTGAATAGATTATAGGTCTATCGAAACTGAAGCCACGACTGTGTAACCAGTAGACCACAAGCAAAGCCATGTATAATATATTCCTGTGATGACATCAGGTGATATGGCTCTGACCAGTGAGATTCCTAGTCTTGTGCCCAGACCCTCACTTGCTCCCGCACTAAAGACGGTCTGGTATACAACATCGAATTTCTTGGTTGTCCTGAGTCAGCATGTGTACGAAAATTGCATAACACGGCGCAATCGTCATGTGTTTGGTTCTTGATCGTTGCATGGATCCGCACAGAGAGACCGTTAGTCTTATGTCACATAAACCTAGCAATCTGATTGGATTACCCTTTTTCCAAACATGCTGACTCAACACGACCAAGAAATTCGGCGCTATATACCAGACCCTCTTTCGCGAGGGAGCACGTGAGGGTCTGGATACGAGAGTATGAGATTCTGCAAAAGATTTCAACGCCCTGCACACCAGCTCGTAAATGCAGAGAGGGCTAGCAATCATTCGGGATAGGGACGGCTGTGATATGCAGTTTAGTTTAGTCCAGCCGCACGGTTTTGACTCATAAGCAACGGTCATTTCTCGAGAGTTCAACGTTACAGGTACGTCAAGACTACTTTTTTTCACTGCTGGACCCAACGCATAGTTTTTTAGCTGCCCCTCTGGCTCGCTTTCTCTCTCCGCCATACCCAGCACTCTCGAATGCAGCGTGTTACAGTAGCAAGAAAGCAAACAGTCACTGAATGCTCTTCCTATCCACGGGAGCGTATGTGTCATCGTTTAACTGTGAATAATTTTCATGAGGTGACATCCCTACATTCCTCATAGAAATGATTTTTTCTTGTCATGATGTTAATTAAAACAAGTAAATTTAAAAATCCTGCGAATTTCAAAAAGAGGCATATAGGGATGGGACAAGATAGGGATGGGATACATGAAATTGACACCCCCAACCAAGTGCAAAAGCCAATAGGCTAATGAGAACAGGCTTGCCTCGACCGGGTCCGCTTGCTCTGTGTATCTTGAAGGCACAACGAAAGGTGTGATCAACTCCCGCATGCTATCTACTACTATAGCTAGCCTGCATCAGACTCTCCGCGAGCTACTAGCGGGAAACCACGAGTACACATACTACTAATAGCCCAGCCCATCAATTAGCGGTACTGTGCATGCACAGTTCACCGAGGGTTTGCACTTTAGTGCTTTTCATGTATTAATGTAATGGTGAATGTTTAATACTTCACCTAGCCAACAATATCACTAAGTACTGTAGTACTTAGTACAAGTAAATTAAAAATCCTGCGAATTGCCGCGGTTACCGAGAAAAACGGTGAACAGACGAACGGACACACGCACACACACACACACACACACACAGACAGACCAACTGCAATAACCCTCGCTGCGCATGCGCGCAGGCGAGGGTTAAAGATGAACGAAACTCCCTATCATAGCCCATACATCTATGATGCATGCCCATCCCTATTATACTAAGTACTACCGTACTTAGTGATGTTGCCTACTGGATTACAGAATCTCATCAGTGTGCAAAGTTTCGTCTAACAAATATGACCATGAAAAGTATATTTATAGCATACTAGCCACAGAGAATAGAAAAACCAGAAGTCACCCTCCACCCCCCATCCTCCACCCAAGTACATACACAGACACAAACAACACAGTTGCACACAACAAGGTAGGACACCATGTCATTACTGTTGGACTTAGCGATACTGCTGATTACTACAACTCTCGTACATAAATAGTATTGAATCCGGTATTGTCTAAAACACTTTCTAGCCCATGTGAGAGTAGAATTACAATCATTGTAGCTACGGGCATGTCACTGTGATACTATGCTTGATTACAATTTTGTTTCCTAAACTGAACGAAAGCTTAGCACATAATTTCTTCTCCCTATAGTTGGTGGTGCTGTTGAAATACAAGATGCAGAAGTCTCAGCCAGCATGCTTTCTTTTACATGGTCTACAAATATATCCGATATTCAGAACTTTGCTATATTAGTCATAAGCAGAGAGAGTGGAGTTGTGATGAATGCGTTTGTCAAAGGAAATAAGAGGAAATATTCATTTCCTGTGGAGATTGCAAACTATGGAATTGCTCTGACTGCATTTGATCGCTGTGGTCAACATTTTACCTCAGAGAAAGTACTCATTATTAATGACGAAGGGACGGTGGAGAAATTAAAAGCAGATGAAAGTGTATTAGATGGATTTTGTGCACATTCATGTCCCACTTTAGACACTACAACTGCTTCTGCTGAAAATCAACAAAACAGAGCTGGTAATTAACCTCGACGATCGCGCATGTGCAGCTAAGGATTGCAGTATACTTGTGTGTGTGTGTCTGTCCGTCTGTCTGTCTGTCGGTCTGACAAGACTGTTGTGCTAAGTTATGCACTTAGTGCGACGGCACATAACACATTCGCATTTACAGGAGTTCGCGTGCAGAGTACCTTGGTCTTTAACCAAAGCAGTGTTGATTTTTAACATTCACTTGTAGATGCATCAAAACCATAAAGTTAAATTTTGCATAAGTATTACACAACTTTTATCTACATTTTTTGATAAAATTGAGGAGAGCATTCACATATCTGTGGTGATCTTACCAAGGATATTTCCCAAAAACGATCTTGTTGCCTGTAATAGACATTTTCTCCTATTTTCACACTGTACGTCAAACTTTCAATGCATTGCCTTTTACATACTACAGATGCAGGTGGGACTGGTTTACGCACTGTGCTTCCTTTGGCATTAATCGCAATACTCGTGGCGGGGTTCTGCTATTGACTCCAGGTAAAACATACACAGAAAATACTGTTCTTTATTCTTTATTCTTCTCTTTGAAAAAGGAGCAAGGTATATTGCTACCTAAAGAGCACCAAAAACTTCACATCACTAACTGTATAATAGTATTATAGTTTTATTTGTTTTATTCTTAGAGTACAATTTTTGTGGTGATGAAGTGCTTCACAATTAGGAGATTAATACCTAATATTTAGGATTAAACAACAGAACCTACATGTACATCTTTACTCCAACCGGGTCACCTCCTCTTGTGAATCCTGTTATTCAACAACCAGTTCATTGGGTGACTTCCTAGCTTCTGTGGTTCGCCCTTCTTGCCAGTGACAGAGCACCATTATGCGACAAGTCCCGACCCAGTGCCTCGCGCCACATACTGTGACAGTGATAATTATGGTCAATAACAAAATTAATAATCACATAAGTTTCTGATAGTCGGTGCGAAATAGATGATGGGCAAGGTCATAATAATGTGTTGCTATAAAAATGAAAAGCACTTGAAAGTGCATAACCCTCGCCACTTTATTCCAATCACTTTGTCGACGTTCTTTTGCACATGCATGTTCAATACTAGTTACTACTACAGCAAAGTGAGAAGCACTTGACAGTACATAACCCTAGGCTTGGTACGGGATTAACACTTAACCAGCCTCTGACACATAAAATGTGTCCAGAGCCATAAGTCTATAATAATTATTATAATTATTATGGGAGTTATAATACTAGGCACACTTTATGCTTAATATTCGGTTTAATGATACCCATGGCGCCCAAAGGGTTAATGTTGAATAAAGGAAGCCAAAGAGGGAGGCACAAAAATAGAAATAAATTAAATGAGAATAATTATGTCATGAATATTACATAAGGTTAGATTGTGTGCAGAAACTATTTGGCAAACATGAATACATCCCGGTCTCCATCAGCCAGTTGACGAACAATGGTGGTAGGACTGACCCCAATCGTAGAATGGGAGGAGATGAAGTGGTTCAAGTAAGGTTCATCAAGATCACATCTGAGACAGTGCTTGCAGAGAGACAGTCTCCCCTGATGACCATGATCCAACGCCATGTCCCAGAGCTTTAGCCGGAGGTGGAGAAAGCTATATAATTATAATTATAATATATCTGCAGCCACAGCAGTACTCTGATTGTTCTGAGCATCACGGAAGCACTTCTCCCAGTCATTCAATTGTCATACCACGCCCACAGACCGTGTTACCATCCTAAAACCGCTTGTGTTATGCCATGACATTTGAGTTTACCTTCAAGAGAGACACATTCTTGGGCGAGAGAAAGAGAGGTGGCGAGGACTGTTAGGAGTGAGTGTGGAAAAGATCTTGCACCTGACAGTACACTTTCCGTGCTCACTCTGTACAGCTTACGAGAGAAAATGCGTGAGGCGACCGACTGAAAGTGTATACAGCCACTCGGGTGGATAGTAGAGAATGAGATTTGGAGTCGCAAAAATTATTTCTTCCAATTTCACACTGATATTGGCATCAGTCAAGACCCAGTTTTCACACCCGTACAGAAGGACAGGAATCACACAAGTTTCATCGATAGCCTTCCCAGTAGCTAAGGGATTCAGTTTCTCCTACAAGGCCTGAAGC